GGGTTTACCTTAATGTAAAGTCCTACTTTATTAAGTTGAAATTAAACATTTTAAAATATTTGTTTTAAAAAGCAGACAATAATTAGCATTGTTCATTAGAGCCTCAGTGAGTCGCGTTTAGTAGTTGCTGTTACGTAATTGGCAGAAGTATTAACTTATATTGTCCGGAGTTCACGATCTATTGTTATTTTCTACAACGAACTTAACTCCAATTCACTTTATTGAAATGAGTGTACATCTGATTCGTTGAGCAGCGCTCGCGACATGTCTTCTACTTAATGTTACTTACACTGATGATGATAAAAATAACCAACGTGACGGTGGAAGGAGTCCAGTCCAAACCGCACACAACCTTGTAAGTAGCATCGCATTATGGGTATAAAATATATTTGTTTCCACCTTTAAAAAATACTTGCGAAGTCCTTTACAAGGTATGAATAAATAACGTCTAAAATAAGAGTAGAGTAGGAAAAAAATTTAAATGCAGAAAGTCCCAGCGGAAGGCTCGAGAGCGCCTCACCTATTACATTAGCAAACAAAAGCGAAGTGCTCGAGCAGCTGCCCCCAACCCCACTGCTCTGCCGGGTTGACTTACAGGTGAGTGGTGCCATGGCGGCGGTATTCTGTAAGTATTCTGTGTCCGGAGACCTAATTTAGTCCTGTTTCCCTTCCCACCCTTTTTTCTTATAACGAAAGGATGGGAAGTGGAAGCGGACTTTCCGGATGAGAGGATGCATGGCAAGGGAAAATATTTTTTTCTGTGCATCCTCTCCTCCGTCGATTAAAGGTAGGCAACGCATATGCAATTGCGTATGCCTACGGGCAACGGTCACTTCGCTATTTCAGCGATATCAGGTGTCCGCTCGCTCGTTTGCCACCTTATGACGTAAAAAAAAATATAAGTATAATAATAAAAACCGCCGCAATATTAAAACCTTAAAAAGAACATGACAGCACGACGAAAGGAAATGTAATAAATCGTGGTTTATTTTCATTTCATTTGCGATATGTTAAATGTTACTTGAATACTTTACATGCTTATTCGAATGACGATAAAATGCAAAAGATACATGAAGGGCGATTGCGTAAATATAAAAATGCTCCAGGGCCATTATACTTTTCACTTTATTTCGTATTCGTTTCAAAACGAAATTAGTGAAACGAAATCGCTGGGAGCGGGACATCGAGAGTGAGGCAATATAGCGACGACACTCGCCAAACTCGGTGGCACTTGACTACTTCACGGCACGGCAGCATGACGTGGTACGTCACGGCACGCAACGTCGCGGCTCCGGTATTCCGGCACGGCATTCCGGCTTTGGGCGCGCGCCGAGGCGGTCGTTGTTATGCCGACATTGAAGTTTAGTTTTCCCGGGCTCAGAACGCGAACACGAAATGTTTCTCGTATGCGAAATAAAACTTTTAAGAAAGTTTAAACGACATGTAAAATTCTTCTGTCATATTATGTGACGTTAAATGTGACGATTGTGCTGGAATTCAGCGCCGTAGCTATTAACGGACGTATTTATTGTGGAAGTTGAGGTTTGTTTGTTGCAATTGTTACACTTGAAGTCCGTAACCCTACAACTAAGTTACCTACTACTGTGTTTCTTAGGTGTAACCCTTCAACAATCCTAAAATAGATATATTATTATTTGTACTATGTGTCCGTGACAATTAATTAATTCAGCTAAGTAAAAACCTTTTTAGGGGAAAAATATTTAAAAATGCTTATTCATCGCCTACCCGAAATGTCGTACATCAGTGTATATCAGATAACCAGCCCCATGTGTTCTCAGACACGGAGTGAAGCTACCTCGCGCTTCCGCGCGGTTACCTCACGACCACCTCGCGGGGACCACTCGCGACATGTCGCTACAACATGTGTTTTTTCTTGCATACGTTTTAAAAAGTAAGTCTAGCGCCGTTGAATTTATTTACTAACTCTGCCTTTAATTATAGATTAAGTAGGTACCGTAGATAAATTAATGTGACACGGAACAGCGGGACTTTAATCACAAGCCTTTAATGGATGCTTAAATGGACGGCACAAATATAGTTATGTACCGTTTTTGTTTAAGCAATGAATCATTTTTCATTTTTACTAATTGCTGTCTATTTATCATATTTGCTAAATTATAGCTCGGCTAAACCAAATTGATTCTATCATTTCATGCATTCTACCATATGGTTGTTACATTAGGTCTTCAACAAAATCTGGCAGCAACTTATAGAAGCAGTCACAAGCTCGGATATCGAGCCCCAAGATCCTTCGCGAAACTTTAACTAAGTTGTATTTTTACGGCAAACTTACTTAGCCTTTGGAGTTTTAAGTGGTTAGAAGTTTCCTGAAGCGAGTCTCGCGGTCCCGCGGATCTGTTGTTTAGCGAGCGCATGTTCCGAACTGAGCTGATTATGATTTGTACAATTTTGTGTGTTGTGTGTAAGACATTTCGAAAAGTTTCATTAACTTTTTCTGTACGTGCTAGACGTAGCTGTTGCCTGAATGTCTCGTTCACGAACCTCGGTACAATACCACGACCACACACACACACACACACATTCGTGTATTAAAGTGTAAGCATTCCGCGTTTGATGAATGTCTGCGCCGGATGCCAATTCTAATCATTTTCTCCTACCCGTTTCTAATAAGGAAAGGGTTGGAAAGAGAAATGTTTGCAAATAGGTTGCCAACGACTTGTTTTGGCGACTTAAGTGCTAAATTTCGGTGACGCTGTATGTCGCTTTGTGAGTAACATCGTTAGATTTCGATGCCATTACTTATTTATCTGGCCCGGCCTCATGGGGACGGTAGCTCTTTTTATTTTAAGATCAGCCGCGGCAGATACATTTAGTAAAATGTACTGTCTTATAAATATCTAATGTCTTAAAGGACTGCATGTATGCAATAGTATTGAAACAGATCTCTAGTCTCGATCTTAAGCTGTAGTGTTGTACAGCATACGCCAGTGATTCGGCGTCACCGGAGCTGCGCGATGAGCCCCCCTCGTTAGTGCCTCTAGTGCCACCGGAGTCGCCGGTGCCATTGGGCCCGGTGCTACGCGAGGTGCCGCCGGCGCTGGTGCCTGTGAGCGCGACTGGTGCTCGGCTGCGCTGCACCGCCGATGGAGACCCCGCACCGCGAATCTCTTGGCTGGCGGCCGACGGCTCCGAGCTTTCGGACGAGCCGGGCGTAAGGTATTTTTCTAAAATAAAACTAGCATATATCTCGGTCTAAGTAACTTCACTTCATAAAATATGATGCTATCTAGTCTAGTGTGTGTGTGTGTGTGTGTATGCAGACGCGTGCTGGGGGACGGGTCGCTGCAGGTGTGGGTGTCGGGCGGCGGGCGCGGGAGTCAGATGCTGCGTTGCCGCGCAGTCAACACGCGTGGCGCCGTGCTGTCGCATCCCGTCACGCTGATGTCCGGTGGGTTTCGTTGCGCACTCACCGGCCCGTGACTGGTGCCCACTCCTCATCTTGTGCACGTGATGTGTCCGAGCAGTTCCGGCGGGCGGGCTTGCGGCCGTAGTGGAGGCGCGCGGCGCGGCTGCGGGCGGCGTGGCGGTACTGCACTGCCGGACGCAGGGCGCGGGCGCGGGTGCCGTGCGTGATGTCGTCTGGTACCGTTCCGGCGCCGAGCTCGACACCGCTGCCGGTCGGTGCTATCGCGACGCGCCGCAATCTACATTCCGTATCTCTAGACATTTTAATAGGAAAACAATACATCAACATCTATTGCATTAATCTATATATATTAATATTATCAAATACTTGAACTGAAAACTTGGCACCGATTTCAAGTAAATTGCGCAACTAGAAAGACATAGTTAAATTTAATGTGGAGAAGAAGTGCATAAAGTCTTTGATTATGAATTAATATGGTCCAACTTCAACCAGTACACATACTATAATATAAATACGAGTGTCGCGGCAGTCGCATATTTCTTAGAATTATTGAGGCATTGAAAAAAATAAAATTTTATTTTAAAAGTATAGGTAGTGTAACTATACTGAAACTATATCTGTCGCGCCACCGCCTCTCCGCAGAGCCCCGTTACTTCGCGGCGGGCGACACGCTGCTAATACGCGACATGTCGCCGGCAGACGCAGCGCCGTACAGCTGCGCCCCGCGCACCCCGCGCACCCCGCTCGCCCCGCACGCCGCGCGCTCACTCCCCGCGCCTCTCCTCCTCCTACGTGAGTGCCACAGACCACGCTGCTAGGTTGCAGCTGAATAGACTATCAAAAGCACGGACTAGAGTCCGCAGCAGCACTAGCTTGCGCACGCCTTGGTATTCGATTCAGCTTAGTATTGTATTATATGAGATCTTATACTTACTTGTTGCTGCAGAATAACTGAACTGATTTCTTTTAGTAGCTTGTCTCTTTCCTTAGTTTATGTCTCAAATAAAGCATAATCACTTACCTATATAGACAGACATAAACCGTGGTATTTTGTGGCTATTTGTTTTTGCTGTTTTGGCGCTGGAGATTGCGGTTAGGTTGCCTATCCATTTAAATTCTGATCTTCAGCATATGAAATTGGTCCAGTGCCTCAGCCGATGCTTTACGAGATCTAGCTGCCTACTGAATATTGCCTCATTGTTTTTATTCCTTTATACATCCGTCTGTGGGCAGCGAGCGGCGGCAGGGGCGGGGCGCCACGGCTGCCGGCGACGGGTGAGCTGACCGCTGCCAGTGGCGACCGCTTCTGCCTGACGTGCGCCGCGCCTGACTTTCCGCCACCGCACTACACGTAAGTTCCGCGTCACGACCAGGGGGTCGGTGCACCTTGCGTGGCCTAGAAAAAAGCGGAAAAGTACAAGACTCCATATCAACTTTCCATAAAAGTGTGTATAAATCTTTGTATTATATGTTGTATGAAAATATGTAGAGTTTTGGGACTTGCAGATGGTTCCGCGAACGCGAAGGCCGACTGCAACCGATACGAGCGGCGGGAAGCACGGGTCCGTCGGCCGGGCTAATGTCGTGGGCCGGCGGCGCGGCGCTATGCGGCCGGGCGGCGCCCGAGATGGCGGGGGCGTGGTTATGCAAGGCGTACAACGGCTTCGGCGATGCCACGCTACAGCTGCGCCTGCATGTCGAAACCGAACTCGGCATCACTGTCAAGCCGGCCGTGCTAGTGAGTCGCAAAGACCATTATATAAATCTGACGAAGAGTCGTGCTTCCTTCCATCGAAGTGCAACTTGCAAAAGTCGTACCTAACACGGGACCCGTATACAACATAACGGTTGCAGGTGGCGCAGGCAGGAGGCGTGGCCGAGCTGTCGTGCCGCACCAGCGATCCCGCCGCGCTCACCTGGTGGCACGACGGCACGCCGCTGCCGGCCACGGGCGGGCGTCTCGTGCTGCGAGGCGTGACGCGCGCTCACGCCGGCATGTACCAGTGCGAGGCGACGCGCGGCCGCAATATTGCGCTCGCAGCCGCCGAGCTGCGCCTCGCAGGTACTGCACCCCGAGCCCACGAGCCCGTAAGCGCACAATGTTATATCTGACATGTGGTGGGCGGCGGTGTTGTAACGCGAGGTGCCGTGTGCCACAGACTCCGCGCCCGAGCTGCAGTACACGTTCATCGAGCAGGCGCTGAGGCCGGGCGCCACCGCCGCGCTGCGCTGCACGGCCGCCGCCTCGCCCGCGCCGCGCATCGCTTGGTTGCTCGACGGTCAGCCGCTCGACCGCTTTCTGCCTCACCACCGGTACGCTCCGCGCCGCGCTCCCCGTACCATCACTTATTCAGAATTTTTGTGGATTGAAAAAACCTATATAGTATAAGCATAAACTTATTTAAAAAGAAAAATGTCCTATTATTAGCGATAATTATTCCACTTAAAGCAAATCGACTTTTAAAAGCAGAAATACCCAACACATATGTACGCGTGCGCAGGTACCGCGTGACGGAGCAGGCGGCGGGCGCGCCGGGCGCAGTCACCTCGCTGCTGAACGTGTCGGTGTCGGCGGCAGACGGCGGACGCTACACGTGCCGCGCGCACAACGCGCTGGGCTCCGCCGAGCACTCCGCCAGGCTCGACGTCTACGGTCACTATCTATGCACAACGCACTGCTAAACGCAGCAAAACGCAATATAGAGGATCTTATTTACAGCAGCGCACTCAACACATTGAGGGCGCGGGCACGGAATTTGTGACAAGTGATGTGTTGTGATCAAAAGTGTAGCACAATATAGCGACGAGCACGAAACGAGCGGTAACGGAGCAGTACTTTTGTTTACATCACCCCTCTAATCCGCTAATTTCGTGCCCGAGGCCTTACACTGATCGACCTATGGACAAACGGGTCACGAACCACAGAACCCTTCCTTTTAATCCTGATAGGCTTCCTCAGCTTCTAAGCCATACACAAGAAAGTATAAGGAATGTAATTTAGCACCAGTTTGCGTGTCGTCCAACGAGCGTGCCGATATTAACTTGCCGAGGTTCTATTTAGTGGCCCTTTTCTAATAAAGAAAGAATGGGAGAAAAGAGAATTCGATTGAGAAGGTGATGGACTGGACGAGGTGTAATTCTTTCTCGACCTATACATCAGACTATTGGTTGCCATTCTGTCCATTACCCAGTTGCAGATGCATTTATCTGGCGAACACATAAATTAGCCTTGACATTTTCTGAACTCGGTAATATTGACTTTTCTAAATGTAGTTAGCACACCTTATCTCAATCTGACGCGCTTGAAAATTTATAACAACTTTTTTTTTTCCTTATTATCCTGGCCGCCCTCGAAACGTTTTTCCATATGGAAGTCCTGTGTGAGGCAGGAGTACTTGGTTGGATGCAACTTTCAGCAATTTATTTTACATATATTAAATTCATATCTCTTTGCCCTTAACATAAATAAACTCAAAAATATCAAAATATTTCTCATGAAAATATTTTTCTCATGTATATAAATGCTTTAACAATACCCGGATGCTAGCTTAGAACCAGACCACTTTATGTGTATGCAAATCCCAGTTACTTGCCTCACCTGTCACCTGTCACCTGTCAGTAAACACCGTCAGGTCCGTCGATCCTCTCGTGGCACACGCGCCGCGCGGCTCTCATGCCGCACCGGCGTGTGTGACGAGCGCTGGGCTTGCGCAGGTCCGCCGGCGGTGCGCGCGCTGGGCGCAGTGCGCGCGGTGGCGGGTGACAACGTCACGCTCTTCTGCCCCTACTCCGGATATCCGATCAGGTCCATAGAGGTGCATGGCACTTAAATAGTATATTTTATTAAAATTTAAGTTAAAAGGCCGTACTCATCAGCTGTAGTTAGTATTATCAAACACGAATGCCAATATCATAGAATAGATGCACAAATATACTCGTAGTTACTTAAACTAAATTTTGAAAATCAAAATTTGATGACAAGCATCGGGACAGGTGAAACTAAATGAAAGCTTCTAATGAAATTAATTTTATCAACAAGAGAACGAACAGAATCATCTTCTAAAAGCTGTCGCGGTCGACTTGGCTCTTGATGTGTGTCACATGTGAAGTGTGCGTGCACAGCTCGGTGTGGTGGCGGCGGGCGGGGGGCGGCGCGCCGGGCGCAGGGGGCGCAGGGGGCGCGGGGGGCGCAGGGGGTGCGGCGCTGCACCTGCGGCCGGCGCGTGCGCGCGACGCCGGTCGCTACACATGCGGCGTGGCCGCACCGGGGGGCGCCACAGCAGTCGGAGACATAGACTTGCAAGTCCGTAGTACGTATCGCACTGTCTACTTAGCTCACTTGATTTACTTATTTCTGAATACCTTACTATTTTTTTTGGCTTACAAATTTCAATATTAGAGAGTCGAAGACAGAGATGCGTCGCCAACATTTTGAGCAAATCCACACGACATTTTTTAAATTCATGTTAGCTGTGCCGTTGCTACTCGGAATAGACGACACATACAGACGACTCAACGTTGTGATTACGGAGCGCGCTCTGCCGATAGTTGCGACGCAATTATGCCAATATCAGTTTCGAAGATTTACGTTGCCTTGTATACGAAGGGCCTTAGAAATTGGCGTTGTGTTAATTTTTGAAATTGCTTTTAATCGTATAGATAAACCTTAAAACACGAAAATAAAGCGTTAATTTATGTTATGACTGTTAAAATATAGAGCCTTGAATCACTGTGACTTACGAGACGGTTTTCCACGAGGCGTGCATCCCAATATACAACCAACACAAAACATAACTTCATATGCATTTATAACATGAGAACACACTCCCGCTTAAATGCTTTTTAAATTGTAGATCCTCCGAAAATATCACCGTTCATGTTCTCGTCGGAGCTGACAGAAGGCAGCGCAGCGCAGGCGCTGTGCGGCGTGTCGGCCGGTGACAAGCCGCTGCATTTCTCTTGGCTCAAGGACGGTCGCCCGCTGCCCGCCGACCTGCAGGTGCTGCTCGCCTCCTGTTCTCGTCTCCTTACTAGTATCTCGACCGATTTTCACGATTCAGATAAGCTTTTCAACTTATTATAATATTATTTCTGTACAATTTCACTTAGTGTATGCAGATTCGGAGAACGCGAATGTTATCTGATAACGCAATTGTTTTTGTAGTCGTCCCATTATAGTGGGTCATTTACTGTAGCTTCACGTTTTGCGAGAGTATTATAGCTACTGAGAAAATGCTAAGTGCGGCGAGAGTACGCTTCAGATTTTAGATGTGAAATTCATCTCATTAAATTTTTACTTTGATTTCGGAGGTTTTACTTGTTGTATATTGAGCGAGCGCGTCGTCGGTCGCAGATCGAGGAGAAGAGCCTGAACGACTTCTCACTGCTTGTGTTCCCCGCGCTGACGGCGCGCCACAGTGGCTCCTACACGTGCCGCGTCGCCAATCACGCGGCCCTCGCCAACTACACCGCCACGCTCAGCGTCAAAGGTCCGCCGCGACGCAAACCACTATATTTGCATCTATTGTAATGTTTAAAAAATTCTAGAGCTCTGATTATAAATACTGTAACATTCTTTGACCTCGTTCGGTTGTGGTGTCGTGTACAAGCGTGGCATGTTGCGCGGCCGCAGTGGCTCCGGCGTGGGTGACGGAGCCGGCGGACGCAGCCGTGTTGCTGGGAGCGCCTCTGCGGCTGGACTGCGCCGCGCGCGGAAACCCCGCGCCCGCCCTCGCCTGGCATCGTAGACTAAGTATCTGACAACTTGCTTTTTATTCGATTGTTAACATTTTTAAAATAAAATAATAACATTTATAAAATGTGTGACAAAAGATTATTTACTCGATAGCCAGATAAGAGAACAGGTTCGTTTACGTAGATGGCGGTGCCGAGGAGGCGGAACGTTGGGAAGCCATCGGCGCAGCGTGGGGGCCGAGAGCGGGCAGTTCCACGGTGTTCCTGTCGGCCGCGGCAGGGGATGCGTCAGGAGCGATGGGCGCGACGGGCACGGACTTGGGCAGCGCCCACCTGGCGGCGCCGAACGCAACGCGCGGGTTGCAGGGCGCCTACCGCTGTACGGCTGACAACGGCGTTGGGGCGCCGTTGATCAAAGAAGTCAACATCGCCGTGCACGGTTTGTGGAATATATTAACGAAATTTTCAATGGTTTAAATTACAAAAGAAATTGATTTTATCGGTAAATAAAAATTTCCACAAACGCAAAATTTGTAAGAAATTAGACGTTTAATATTAGAAAGTGTGTGTTTGCTAGTGCGTGTTGTGTTGTTGACAGAGCCGGCGCACTTCGGGGTAGACGCAGCGCCGCGCAACGTAAGCGGCGTGCGCGGGTCGCCCGTAACGCTGGAGTGCGACGCGCGCGGGGACGCGCCGCTCTCCGTGCTGTGGACGCACCGCGGCGTCAGCCTCCAAGTCGACTCCTTCAGGTGTGATTCGTCCACACACCGACACAACTCGGAGATGTCGATACGTCACGTGGGCGACAGCGGTGACAAACGGTTTGTGGTCGCAGGTGGAAGGTGTCGGAGACGCGCGCAGCGGGCGGCGTGCGGTCGACGCTCCAGTTGCGCGCCGCGGGGCGTGAGGACGCCGGCGAGTACGGTTGCCGCGCGCACAATCACTTCGGCAGCAGCGAGCGGATCATCTTCCTTCATGTTGAAGGTACCATAATTTGCTTGTAAATAATAAATAAATATTTCTACTTCTACTTTTGTATTTTTTTAAATCACTTAAATGATTTCTATAGAACCTCCCGAAGCACCGAGTTCTATACAATTAGCTGGAGCTAGCTCGAGGTGGATCCGTGTGCGGTGGCGCGCTCGGGTTGCGTCGGGCGCGGAGGGTACAGGTGCTGCGGGGCGTGTACGCTACTGGGCGGAGTGCACGCCGCTGCGAGGGGACTCCGCGCCTTCGCTCAACTTGACCCTCGAAGCGGAGGAGGAAAGCGGGTAAGACTTTGATTACCTGAAAAGATCCCAGCCTCGAATGCGTATTTCAATATATTGCTGTGATATGGGAAATGTAATTTAAATTGTAGACCTGACTCTCAAGGATACCGCTCGTTGAGCGCACTGGTAGCTGGAGTACGCCCCGCGGCCGCGTACGCGGTGCGCTTGCTGGCCGCCAACCGCGTGGGCCAGTCGCCGCGCTCTGAACCGCTGCTCGTCACCATCCTGGACGAAGGTCGGTCGACAGTCGCTTACTTCACTTACATTTTGTTAAAACTTTAATAAAATAAGAAAAACATTTCCCATATAAACAATGCACGGTTCCGCAGCACCGAGCGGGCCGCCGCAGAACGTGCGCGTGCGTGCGGTCGGCACGCGGGAGCTGCACGTCTCCTGGTCGGTATGTACGGTTGTTATATATGAATTTTTATTAATTTAATAATTATTTACAAAAGCTACAAGTTTGTATACACATTATCCCGGCGTAACTATGGAAGAAATACAAAGAGTAATTGAGAATTGAGACTAGCAATATACCAAAGTTGCAGACGTTCTTGGATATGCCCTAAACATATATTTATAAATTGAAAGGCTCCGGTGCAGCACTCGTGGAATGGCGAGCTAGTCGGGTACGCTGTGCGGTGGCGCGGAGCGGAGACTCCGGGGACGGGGGACGGCGCGGAGGGCGCTGCGGGCGCAGGGGAGGCGCAGGGGGCGGGTCTGAGCGCGGGGCGGAGCGTGGTGCGCGGTTGGGGCGGCGCCGAGTTGCGCGTGCGCGGCCTGCACGAGTTTGCGCGTTACGAAGTCACGGTGCGCGCGTTTAACGCTGCCGGCTTGGGCCCGCCCTCGCAAGTCGTGTACGCTACTACTGCGGATGGAGGCGAGTGGTATTATAAATATAAAATTAGTCGGTACATTACATTTATTTATTTCTAGTAAGACCCACAGCCATTTTAACAACGTAGGTATAACAGAAGTTAATAAACACAAAGCCGGTCCTTACGCAAAACGTGGCGTTTTACTTTAAAATATATTAAAAAACAAGAAAAAGGAAAAAATTGATCATAATTACGGGAAAATTTAATACAAAGGATTTGTTCCATTTACTTAATGATACGTTTATTGGGCGGTTTTGAATACTCTCACGAAAGTTTTATCATTTCATGTACTTTTCGGATAGTACCCGAAACGGCACCGGGCGACTTATGGTGCACCGCGGAGAGTGCGCGGGCGCTGCGCGTGCGCTGGATGCCGCCGCCTGGGATCTCGCCCACGCCCAGCGGCTACGACGTGCTCTACGCGCCAGTTCACAGTACGCCCTGTCAGTTATCCGTTTTTTTTTTATTTTGTAAAGTGAACACTAGCAGTACCTACCTGACATCTCTAACGTATTCATTTACTAGTTTTTGACGGCGACTCTATCCGCGCGGCATTAAAAAAAACTCAATATGTTGCCTATGTGTTCTTCCAGACTATGGTCTACGTCTATGCCAAATTTTACCGAGCTCCATGCAGCCGTTCTGGATATACCTTCAAAGAAACATCCATCCATCCATCTATCCATTCATCCCTCCATCTAAACATTCGCATTTATAATATTTTAGGCACCAGCCGGTAGAATCACATATAAAATATTTATGTTTATCCGATTAGGATAAAAATTATTTCTTGATTAAATCGGTCGGTAAGGGAGTAAGGAAGCACTGATACACATACAGCGTGGAGCGGCGCGGGCGCGGAGCTCACACTGGGCGGCGTGAGCGGCGGCGCGCGCGAGGCGCTGCTGGCGGGCCTGCGCGCGCGCACCAACTACAGCGTGCGCGTGCGAGCGCGCTCCGCCTCCGGCCCCGGACCACCCTCCACGCCGCGCCTCTGCGCCACGCTGGAAGACGGTACGAAGCGCTGTGACCACAACTGGATTTTAACATTTTGCTATGATATTTTAATAATGAGATCAATAAGTCCGTGTACAAACCCACATCGAAGCGAGGATTGAAAACTTTTTCCAAGTCCAAAAAACGAATTTTTCGAAATATACTTGGGGATCGTCAATTTAGTAATTCACGTGAGACTAGAAAGGTTTCCGACGACAAAAATCGAAACATGACCTGTCTTTATTTACTGACTGTCTGAAGAAGTAAATTTCATGAATAACAATATTGTAAACCTACTAACAAATAACATTAAAAAACATTTTCAAGTCCATTGTCCAAGTTTTCTATTGAATTTGACCACGTTGTATAATAATACGGTGCGCCATGAAATATCTCGCTCTCCGTCACAAATGTGTTTTTTATAATACATTTTCATTTTTCATTCGCCATGTAATGTAAATGTAATTTTCAATCTTCAATATCTGGGAAACTCCTTGTTAAATACTACTAGTGAGTAAGTAACTCCGGTAATCCGTGCACAACATCGTCGAAGTAGCTTTAGTAGGCGAACATTTGCAAATAATAATATGAAATTGTATAATAGTAAAATATGTTTTGCATAATTGGAATTTGATCGCGTTCTTATGCGCAGTGCCTGGCGCGGTGGTGACCCTGCGCGCTGTGGCTGTGTCGGCGAGCGCGGTGCGCGTGTCATGGCTGGCGCCGCCCGCCGTCGCGCGTCTCACGCACTACACGCTGCACGTGCGCGAACTTGGCAGGTATATACACTTTCTCTCTTTCTCTACTTTACGCTCAGACACTATTATAAACGCCAGCAACGATTATAACAATTTAGTTTTGTCAATGCACCGCCGCGCCGCCACCTTCCCTGCCGATGCGGGTTGTTCGCGTCTCTTGCCTCGCCGCGGTCCGTAACCACCATACACAAATTAGTGTAAATCCAAATTCTTAAGGGTGGGCGGAGAGTGGTCGCAACACGTCGAAATATCGAGGAAAACGAGGAGCGCGAACTCGGGGAGTCAGGGAGAGGAGGAGGAGGAGCAGGAGGAGTGTAGTGCAGAGGTGGCGGGGCTGCGCGCGCGGGCCGCCTTCGAATTCAGGGTGCGCGCTCACGCAGCGGCGGGCACGGGGCCGGTGAGCCGCGCCGCCGCCGCCAGCACGCCTGGACCTGACGTGCCAGGTGAGCTGCCGGACCCTCTCCATTTGCTCTAAATTTTCACTTAAATATCCATTGCACTTATATTTGTGGAATAGCAGTGAATAGCTTACAATTACTACAAAACTCAAAGTAATAAAGCTACGAATTTTGTATTCTTCGAGTTTTCCTTTCAAAAATTGTATTGCATGAGAAAGTCAAGTTCATGATTATGGCTTACGGAATGTATACTAGTATTATTGTACAACGGCCTCTGAACGATTCCGCCGCAGAGGTTTGTACAGTTGTGTGAATCATGCACACTTTCTATATGTTCACGAGCAAATAAAAAGTACAATGTTGATAAAAAATATAAGTTTCGTTCTAAAAGGACTAGATGGCGCTGCCCTATTTAAGTGCACGCTAGCATTTTGTTCTACTATTTTGTTGTGATTTCGCTTAACGCTAATTAAATGACTCATCCACCCGACCTTTATTGTATCATTTAATACGGACCCGGGGCTTTTTGGGTTCCTGTACACTATATTTCTATACTATCAATCATCATAACTACATTCATCATTTATCATTACAAGACAATTGCACTGAAGTAAGTACGAGTATATACAATATCAAAAATTATAATGCAAACAAAATCAAACTATGAAACAAACTATTTTTACAACTTCCTCTCTTATTACCAAAAATTTTACCATTTCTTTTTTTCTCTTTTTCTTTTTCTATAATGCGCGGCGTCGCATTCTCGGCCAGTACGACCTCCTTGGCCGCTTACAAACTCTCCCGCACTACCAAGGAGGTTCGATATCTTCAATGCGCGTTATACAATTCTAAAGCGGAAGAGTTTGTTTATTTGTTTAAAAGCGCTGATCTCAAGAAGTACTGGTCCGATTTGAAAAATTATTTTTTTGTTGGATAATCCATTTATAAAGGAAGACTTAAGGTTATATAACATTGCGCTGCGACCAGTAGTTTTTTTTAATTCCGCGCGGACGGAGTCGCGGGTCGCAGCTAGTTATAGATATACATGTTAGTCAAACAATTGAGTCGCTTTCTACTCGGCATCGACTATCGTGTTACACTGTCATCACAACACTGATATTTTAAAACGTATATGTATGTTACTATGACAAGATGTCTACCTTATTGAATTGTAAATGTGAAATGACGTTTCATTGGAATGCGTAAATATGATGGTAGAGACGTTACTGAATATATCCTTTTCCCTCCACTGTGAAGCCAGTCATAGTAGGGTCTTCATAATACCTATATCTATATATTTATATTATGTGTACTTTTTGAGCAGTGAGCGCGCGCATCTGGTCCCTGTCGAGGGAGGTGGTAGCGCGTGCGGGCGAGCGCGTGCGGTTGCGATGCGCGGCGGCGGGCGCGGCCCCGCTTGCGCGCCGCTGGGCTCCGCTTCCGCCCGCACACGCGCTCTCCGAGGACGGCGACCTGCTCCTACTTAGTGAGCTCGCTTCTAACCACAGATAATACAATACGCACGAGTCAAATTATGTATTGTAGTCCTCACATCACTAAATTGTAGCTGTAGGTACTCACTACACCGGTGTGAGTACGTACAGTCAGCGTCTTATAGATCGTCACAGACAAGATATGCAAATATATAGGTACACCAAAAGTATTCAATTATATCGGTACAACAAAAGTCCTCAAAATTATAGATACATTCACCCTGCTCAAATA